GTAGCTTTGTGACCGCAGTGGGGACTTGTGGAGAACACCCAGCACATTGTTGGGTGGCGCCCGGGGTGGACACGGGGCTGTCAGAGGCCAGGCGCTGCGGTCATCCTTGTCCTTACAAGAGAGCTGACTTTCCAGATGGCCCCCTCCGCACACACACGTGTGCACACACGCACACAGGCTCACATGTATGCGTGCACGTGCACAGGCACACACTGCCTCAACATACACATGCACACAGGGCGTGCTCACATATGCACACACAGGCCCACACGTATGCGTGCACACACAAGCTCACAAGCATGCACGCACATGTGCACAGGCACGGGCATGTGCAAACATGCACACACTGGGTCACATACATGTGCACACACAGGCATGCTCATACATGCACACGTTAGCTCACAAGACCATGTGCACACAAGCTCACACATACATGTGCACAGGCGCACACAGGCATGCACACACTAGGTCACACGCATGTGTACACACAGACATCCTCGTACATGCATACACAAGCTCACATGTACGCATGCACACGTTCACAAGCACAGGCACACATAAGCTCATAAGTACGCACACGTTCACAGGCACACAGGCATGCTCACACTTGCACACAAAGCTCACACACACATGCACACATGCACAGACACACACAGACACACACGCATATGCACACACACTGCTCTCGGAAGGCACGTTGCACTGAGACACCCATTAGCCTTTCCCTGTCCGGAAAAGCAGGAGCCCTAAGCACCACGTGGCTGGCCGAACTGCAGCCCATAGCTGTGGGTGTGTCTGTCCTGGTCCCTGCCCAGGTCAGCCCTGGCCTCATGGAGACACGGTCTCCCCCAGCTTGTGCCTCTCCAGCACAGCGTGGCTGAGGTCCTGGCCGCCTTCATCCTAGCTCTGCTCAGATGGGCCGTGGCCAGCAGGGTGGCATTTTCTAGGTTTGCCCGGTACGTGTCAGCTCTGCCCTCTGCTTCTACAGGCATCATGGCGGGCTCGAACCGGTCTGGGGACCTGAAGGACGCCCAGAAGTCGATCCCCACGGGGACCATCCTGGCCATCGTGACCACGTCTTTTATTTGTATCCTCGGAGGGGTTGAGCCGTGGGAGGCACAGGTGCTGGGGAAGGACACACCCGCCGCCCTGTGTGGCTCCCGCTGTGCCCCCAGCAGCTCTGGGTGGGCCTCCCTGGGTCGGGGCTGTGATCGCAACGTCCTTATAGAGGGACCTGGGCGGTATCGACCGGATGCAAGAAAATAAAGCAGGTGACGCCGCCTTCACAGTTGGGTACGGAAGGTGACGTGGCACGTAAAATAAACCATGGGTGATGTCCACGTGTTAGCGACACATATCTGGGAGCGTCACGCATGCGGGCGCTGGTCAGTTTTGCAAAGCCCAGTCACTGGCCCGGAGGAACCTTTTCTGTTCCCGAGGTTTGTCCTAAGCCAGGGTGTGCCCTGCCCGGTCCCCGCGGTGGTCATCTGCAGGCCTGGCGTGTCCTCCGTGGCCCCAGGACTGAGCAGTGAGGAAGGTGCCCGGGAACCACCGGGACACAGCAGTGGGTCTGGGGGGGCCCAGACCCTCCTGCCACCGGGACCTGCTGCCAGCACGGTGCCCGCTGCTTCCTTGACGAGCCGAGACCTCTCCTGCATCGTGCTTTTTGGGGCCTGCATCGAAGGCGTGGTCTTACGAGACAAGTACGTTGGTTCCGCCTGCAAGGTTTGGCTTTCTTGAATGACTTTAGCTTTGAAATCGAGGTCACCAGGGTGTCACACTTCGCATGCAGAGCAGGATGACCCCACAGCTCCTTTGTTGAGGCTCCGTTTGGTCGGACGTGTCCCTCTCCTGCTCCAGCCTGGAGCAGAGGGACCACAGCGTCACCTTGGGCCCTGCGGAGCTGGGGGTGCAGGGGCCCCTGGGAGAGGCCATGGGAAACCTCGCCGGTCCCAGCACTTAGTTGGGGAGCAGCGAGAGCGCCAGGCTTCCCAGCGCGTGCGTGGCCATCGGCTCCCCCAGGCGCTGACAGCCAGCCACTGTGGCTTCCCTGCTCCTGGGAGGGACCTGGGGAGCAGGGCCCGCTCGCTCGTCGGGCTGGGCGCAGCGTCCTGCCCCCTCAGAAGCTGGGAGAGTTCTTGGTCCTCAGCCCAGGGTTTGAAAGCCCGCTCCACCGCCCCACAGGTTCGGGGAGGCCCTGCAGGGCAATCTCGTCATCGGCATGCTGGCCTGGCCGTCCCCGTGGGTCATAGTCATTGGCTCCTTCTTCTCCACCTGTGGCGCTGGCCTGCAGAGCCTGACAGGGGCCCCGCGCTTGCTGCAGGCCATCGCCCGGGATGGCATCATCCCCCTCCTGCAGGTGAGTCCCTCACCCCGCCACCGCACCGGCCCCCCTGAGGGTGGGACCCTTGGTGGCGTCGGCGGGGTCCCCGGCCGTCGGCCCCCAGAGCACGGTCTCCTCCAGCAGCGGCCCCTCCCACCTGGGCTGGCCTAACGGTTCAGGGGGGGCCTCCACTTCCTGGGGGGTCGGTCTCTGTCCCGGCATCACCCTGTGGGACGTGACGCCCCAGGACTGTTCTGCTGTGACGATGACGAGGGGCGTGGCGTCTGGAGCCCGTGCTGCTTCCAGTTGGGCTATAGCTTTCTGGAATGAACTTGAGGCCGCTGACGTGTTTCTGGAATGAACTCAAGGCCTCTGACGTGTGTGTCCTGGGGACCCCGTGACAAGTGCCACAGACGGGGTGGCTTCCGCACAGGTTGCTCCTCTCCCGTCCAGGGGCTGGAAGCCTGAGGTCAGGGTCGCCGGCTAGTTCCCGCTGAGGCCTCCCCTTGGCATGTAGGCGCCATCTCCGCCGTGTGCTCTCATGGCCGTCCCTGTGTGTCTGTGTCCTCGTCTGCTTAAGGACACTGGCCGTGTCAGGTGAGGGTCTACCCTGGTGACCTCACGGGCCACCTCGTTATACATCCCAACTTCAAACCCAGTCACGTCCTGCGGTGCTGGGTTCGGACCTCACCACGTGAATCCGCGGGACAGCGACCGTCCTGCTCGAGTGTGTCACCGGCTGCCCTCCCCTCGCTTCCTGAGCCTGGTCCCAGCAGACCTGCGTTTCGTCACCTTTCGTGGCTTCTATCCCGAGACACGAGGCCGTGGCGGGCGCACTGACCGCACGGGGACCAGGCTAGGCTGCGGGTGGCGGTCAGGGCGGCCTCAGGCGGTGTCGGGGGACGCCCTGATAATGGAGCCCCCACCGAGGCCGGGGCCGCTGCCCTGGGTGTCTCTCGCTTCCTTCCGTGTCTGCGACACGCTTTGAATTTCCGTCCCCAGCACCCCTGGGCAGCAGGGAGTGGACAGGAGAAGCTTTTCCAGCCTGGTGTCCTTGAGCATGGGGCACCCCTTCCAGAAGGCGCTGCCTCCCTGCATGGCTGTGGGTGAGGGTCTAGGCACCAAGGGCCTGTGCCTCCTTCTCAGGGCTGGCCTTAGGCCCCCAGAAACGCGGTGTAGGACACCGGGTGGTGACACCACACACCGGCCAGCGCTGTGGAGCGCCTGGGCTTTGTGGGCACCCGGCTGCCGTCACCTCGTGAGTCTGGGTGTTGAGTGTCTGGGTGGTGTCCTGGAAGGGCACTTGTGTGCAGACCTTGTAGTTGGACCTGTCGACTGGCTTGTCACCTGAGCACCAGGAGTGGCTCCTGCTGCCCTGTCTTCTGCCCACGCAGCTGTCTACCTGCAGGTGTTCGGCCACGGGAAGGCGAACGGGGAGCCCACGTGGGCCCTGCTGCTCACGGCGCTCATCTGCGAGACCGGCATCCTCATCGCCTCCCTGGACAGCGTGGCGCCCATCCTCTCCATGTGCGTGCGGGGGCGGGGACGCGGCGCCACCGTGACCGCTAGCGGCACTCGAGGCCCTGCTCTCAGGGCTGGCCCTTCCTGGGGACAGTAGAGGGGGGTGGGCGCGGGCCAGGTGGCCACACATGGGACAGCGCTCAGGCGAGGGGCTCCCGCAGGACGGGTGGGGTGCAGCGTGGGGTGAGGGCGGGGCGAGGGCGGGGCAAGGGGCCGTGGAGCCCGTAGCCGGCGTCTGACGACCTCCTGGCTGCAGGTTCTTCCTCATGTGCTACATGTTCGTGAACCTGGCTTGCGCTGTGCAGACGCTGCTGCGCACCCCGAACTGGCGCCCGCGCTTCCAGTACTACCACTGGTAGGACAGCCGCGGGGTGTGCGCGCGCGACCTGGGGCGCGCCGGGCTCGTTCCTCGCGGGGCCTGGGCTGCTGGGCAGAGTCCCCAGGCTCCGGCGCTGAGCTGCTCGCCCAGCGGGCGCCTGCCTGGGGCGTGGAGTGGGCGTCAGCGGCCATCTCCGCCCGGGGAGCCCACACGGTCTTCTCGGGGGCACTGAGCGGAAGGTTTTCACTAAGGAGCCAGTACTGTTTCTGAGGCAGCCGCTCAGCTGCCGGTGTGGGGGTCTGGCCGGCGCGTGCGGCGTGGGGTGCCGAGGGCGGTCGCCGCAGCTGCCCAGCGCCGCCCCCTCCGCAGGACGCTGTCCTTCCTGGGCATGAGCCTGTGCCTGGCGCTGATGTTCATCTGCTCCTGGTACTACGCGCTGCTCGCCATGCTCGTCGCCTGCTGCATCTACAAGTACATCGAATACCGCGGGTGAGTGTGGCCGGCGGCTCTCCAGGTCCCGCGAACCCGGCTGTGGCCGGGCTGGGGTGCCGCCCCCCATCAGGTGCACCAGACGCCCAGGCCTGCACTCGGGTGGGGGGATCTCTGTCTGCGAGCCTCCTGCTGCGGCCGTGGCGGCGGACAGCCCCTCCTCGGCTGTTCTCAGCCGAGCCCACAATTGTCGGGACACAGCATTAAGCGCACCTGTCTACCTGTAAAAGTCAAAATTTCTCTGTGCTGTTTGGAAACTGAAATCCACCCAGGCGGCAGCGTTGATGTGTGATGGATTTCACAATTACAAAACCTCACGGTCAGAAAAACGGCTGGGGGGCAGCGGTAGACGTCACACCAAGTGCCTCTCAGAGTGTGGTCCCTCACTGGGGCATGTCCCCGCGCCCCGGCCCTTGGGGGAGGCGGGGGGTCCCCTGGGCGGGGGGG